ACGATCTTGGCTCACTGCAACCTCGTCCTCCTAGGTTCAAGCAATTCTCCTGCCTCAGCCTCCTGCGTAGCTGGGACTATAGGGGCAAGCCACCACCCCCAGCTAATTTTTGTATTTTTAGTAGAGATGGGGTTTCACTATGTTGGCCAGGATGATCTCGGTCTCTTGACCTCGTCATCTGCCCACCTCGGCCTCCCAAAATCCTGGGATTACAGCATTTTTATTTTTGAATTTTTCTGCTATCTTTTGCGATGGAGTCTTGCCCTGTCACCCAGGCTGGAGTACAGTGGCACATTCTTGGTTCATTGCAACCTCTACCTCTCAGGTTCAAGTGATTCTCCTGCCTCAGCCTCCTGAGTAGTTGGGATTATAGGCGCGCACCACCACACAAAGCAATTTTTTTTTTAGTAGAGGTGGGGTTTCACCATGTTACTCAGGCTGGTCTCAAACTCCTGATCTCATGTTCTGCCCTCCTCAGTCCCCCAAAGTGCTGGTATTACAGGCGTGAGCCACCGCGCCCAGCCACATTTTTCTTTTTTTATTAAATGAGTAAGGCTCTCGCCCTGTCTCCAGGCTGGAGTACAGTGGTTCGATCTCAACTCACTGCAACCTCCACGTCCCGGGGGCTTTTTCATCACCAAGAAAGCAGCCGCTCACCTTTGCTCAGTGGATAAGTTTTCTGTCACTTACAACCAAGATGATCCAAATTAACACAAAGTGACAGGCGTGGACTCCAGTTAACGACTCTCGAGTTTTTATTTTGATGACAAAAATCACACAGGAAAGGACAGAAATTATCCATGGCAAACTAGGAGTGGGAATGGGCAGGGAAACACGGAAAACAGGTGTCCAGAGTTCCTGGGGTCTCTCCTGGAATCCTGGGTTTCCTTCCCAGGACCCTGCAAGGCATCCTAGGTGCCTCCTGGGACCCCCCAGAGGTCTCAAGGAACCCAGTTGGAGAACCAAGGCTTCAGGCCAAAGGCTTCCTTGCACAAGAAGGTGCAGGTGTACAGGGGAGGTTCAGACAGTGGCCTCGACCTCAGTGGCCTCGTCCTCCTCCTCCAGGAGGCTGTAGGAAGCATGGCTCTGGCAGGGCCGCTGCAGGGGGTGAGCCAACAGTTTCGCCATGCAGTTGTGCAACTCCAGGGCAGGCCCAGCCAGTGCCACCTCATACTTGTAGCTGGTCCCCTTGGTATCCAGGCTGCCCATGAAGGCAAACATGTCCTAGGGGATCAGTGAAGGGCTGTTCAGGCAGAGGTTACCCCAATAGCCCCTTCAAATCCCTGGAGGGCTTCTTGGAGGAGGGGACATCTGGGGTGGGTTCTAAAGGGTGAAGAGGAGTTTGCCAAGCAGAAGCCATTTACGCATTCAGTAAACATTCCCTGCCATGGACCCAGAGTTAGGGACCTAAAGAGGTCCCTGTCATGGTCCCCAAAGAGTCCCCAGTGTGAAGAAACACAGTCAGATACAGACACATTCTCCTGGCCCCTACTTTGATCCTTCTTGAAAAACAGGGAGGGCTTCTAAGAGGAGGCACTTTTTATTTTTTGACAGAGGGTCTCTGCTCTGTTGCCCAGGCTGGAGTGCAGTGGCTTGATCACAGCTCACTGCAATCTCTATCTTTTGGGCTCAAGCAAGTCTCCTGCCTCAGCCTCCCAAATATCTGGGACCACAGGCATACACCACCATGCCCAGCTAGATAGAGGAGGGACTTTTTTTTTTGAGACGGAGTCTTGCTCTGTCGCCCACGCTGGAGTGCAGTGGCATGATCTCGGCTCACTGCAACCTCTGCCTCCCAGGTTCAAGTGATTCTCCTGCCTCAGCCTCCCGAGTCGCTGCAACTACAGGCGCCTGCCACCACACCTGGCTAATTTTTGTATTTTTAGTAGAGATGGGGTTTCACCATATTGGCCAGGCTGGTCTCAAACTCCTGGCCTTATGATCTGCCTGCCTTGGCCACCCAAAGTGTTGGGATTACAGGTGTGAGCCACTGCGCCTGGCCTAGAGGAGGGACTTTTGATTTGGGTATTGAGGTATGAGGAGGAGCTCGTGTCAGTTTCCCCTGTTCATAGATGGGTAAACTGAGGCTCAGAGAAGTAAGTCCTACTGAAGTCCTATAGCTAGTTTAGGTCTGGGATGTGAAGGCCCAACAGGGCCTGGGGAGTCCAGGAGGAATGGGTGTTCCAAGCTGAGGGCACAGCGAGGTCAAAAGCAGAAAGCAAGGGAAGACGGGGCGGGGCACCGCCGCTCACGCCGGTAATCCCAGCACTTTGAGAAGCCGACACGGGCAGATCACCTGAGGTCAGGAGTTCAAGACCAGCCTGCCCAACATGGTGAAACCCCATCTCTACTAAAAATACAAAAATTAGCTGGGCATGTTGGCGGGTACCTGTAATCCCAGCTACTCAGGAGGCTGAGGTGGGAGAATTGCTTGAACCCAGGAGGCGGAGGTTGCAGTGTGCGGAGATTGTGCCACTGCACTCTAGCCTGGTCAACAGAGTAAGACTCGGTCTCCAAAAAAAAAAGAAAGGGAAGCAGGGAATGCTGGGGTTGGGGGAGGCAGGACTCAGCATGTCGCTGGGATCCATCGTCCCAATGGTTCCCACCCCATCAGTCACAGCTGACAACTGAGAAACCCGAAGCTGGATGACAGAATGCCCATGACCTACCGTAGCCAGGGCTCCAGGGCCACCAAATGGAGGTGGAGAGCCCAGACCCAGTGCAGGCGTGTTCCAAACATCCTGTCCACACCCGCCTGCCACCCACACCTGCTGCGGCCTCTTACCTTCCAGCTCATCTCCTCCTCCTTCTCCTCGGCACCATTGTGGATGTAAACAATGTCAAAGAAGAAATACGGGCACTGGAACATTTTCTGCAGGGGAAGTAAAGAACACTAGCCTCTGGGGTTTGGGTCACCCCAAGCCCCATGACCATAACCCCATTTCTGCCTCAACCCCAGGAACTTGCCTCCAGGCACCCCAGCTTGCGTGGTGTCTAACCACCATCCTCACGGCTGCAGGCCTCCCTCCCTCTCCCAGGCCTCACCCACCTTCATGGGCTCCGTCAAGGAGAACTGGGGCTGGCAGGGTGGACGGCTGTAGACAAGGATGGTGCGGACCACATATGGCGGGGGAATCGTCTGCACGTTCTCTGTGACCGGAAGCTCAGTTTTCTGCTGGCTGCAGAGGCGGGAGGTGGGACTGATCAGGGCAGCCTGTGGGGACCTGCCCCTCATCAGCCTGAGAGAGACACCAGACGCTCAACGGGCAGGTGAGGCCCCATTGATGGCTCCCCAGTTCACTGCTGCCTCTGAGCCTTCCCATGAGCAGTTCCCTCTGCCCTGAGCACCTTCCCAGCATCACCCTCGGACTGGCTTCTGCTGCTGCCCTGGAGAGGCCTCGATGACCCAGAGGCTGGAGCCTGCTCTCACCACCCTCAGTTTTTGAGATGGAGTTTCACTCTTGTTGCCCAGGCTGGAGGGCAATGGCACGATCTCCACTCACTGCATCCTCCGCCTCCCAGGTTCAAGTGATTCTCCTGCCTCAGCCTCCTGAGTAGCTGGAGTTACAGGCGCGTGCCACTACACCCAGCTAATTTTTGGGGTTTTAGTAGAGACCAGGTTTCACCATGTTGGCAAGGCTGGTCTTGAACTCCTGACCGCAGGTGATCCACCTGCCTCGGCCTCCCAAAGTGCTGGGACTCCGGGTGCGAGCCACTGCGCCGGGGCCACCCTCAGTGTCCTGAGCATCCCCCATCACTACCTTCAGCTAGAGCTGCCTGGCAGCACGTGCATCCCCACCAGAACCCATGCTCCCAAGACAGATAAATGAGGAATCGCTCAGGGTGAGGTTACAAGGGAGGAGGCTTTATGGTTCCCTAGATTATTTCTGTGCTGTTTGGAGCTTCTTCCAGAAGTGATCATTCTCTTTGAAGGTGAGTAAGAATTTCCCCGCAGGGAACTTACATGAGGCTGAAAAGTCCTTCCAGATCTGATGGGGACGCTAAGGAGAAGGCTGGCAGCAGGGCATGCATGAGCCACAACAGGTGGCTTCCCCCATCATGATGGCAGAAGAGACCTGGCACCCCTGGAGACGCACTGTGTGACCCTGCCCTCTCTGAGACTTGGTTTCCTGCCAGCATGGATCACAAAATAGGGTGCTGGCACCAGATGACTTTAAGACCCACGCTATGCCAGGCACAGTGGCTCATGCATGTAATCCCAGCACTTTGGGAGGCCAAGGCGGGCAGACCACCTGAGGTCAGGAGTTTGAGACCAGCCTGGCTAACATGGAGAAACCCCGTCTCTACTAAAAATACAAAATTAGCCGGGTATGGTGGCACATGCCTGTAATCCCAGCTACCTGGGAAGCTGAGGCAGGAAAATCACTTAAACTCAGAAGGTGGAGACTGCAGTGAGCTGAGATCATGCCACTGCACTCCAGCCTGGGCAACAAGAGGGAGACTCCATCTCAAAAGAAAATAAATAAATAAACAATAAGATCCACAGGGGGCCATGGGAGGTTTTGAAGCAGAGATGGAATAAAATCTAACTTATGTTTCAAAACTGAATGAGGCTGGGCACGGTGGCTCATGCCTGTGATCTCAGCACTTTGGGAGGCTGGGTGGACTGATCACTTGAGCCCAGGAATTCAACACCTGCCGGGGCAACATGGCAAGACCCATCTCTACAAAAAATACCAAATTAGGTAGAGGGTGAATTTTGGACCTCCTGAGTAGAAATCAGGTACTTCTTTTTTTTTTTTTTTTTAAA